TACATATATACTTAATATTCTACTCGATAAAAACATATGATTATATCATATTTGAGACTTCTATGGTAGTACTGCGTTGGTTATCAAATATTCGTTGATCTTTCATCCGTTCGTCAATCGCGTACACTACTAGTCAAAGAACATAATATAAAATTTCTTAAATAATTGAAAAACCTTGCAAGTTTGGCTATTATGCTATCATATGAGATGGATTGCATAAACGATATTTCAAGACATAAGTTCTAAATAGTTTTGCTACTTCCTATGAAATTAAAGTCCCTCACCAATACTTTTACCTCGTTGTATTTCTTCCGAATTTTAAAGTATAGTTAATTTTTGCAGCCTTGAATTAATAAAAAAATTATATGCCAAAAGAAAAATCAATCGCTTTTCGTGATACTGATAAGAAGGACAGTCCATACATCATAAGCGGGAAAATTACCAAAAAAGTCCTAAACCTTTTTTTTTTTTGCAAATTCAGTCCCAAACCTTTTGCAATTCAGCCGATTCAGTCCTTTTGGCAGGCCGGAGCTGACGTGGACGCCGGTCGGCGCCGACCAGTGACGTGGCAATATTTTAATATTTTTTTCGAATTTTTTTTTCCTTTCTCTTTTTTTTTTCTTTTCCTTCTTCCCCCTGGCCAGTCCGGCCAGGGGGAAGCTCGCCGGCAAGGTCCACTGGGGAGGCTCGCCGTCGCCGAGCAAGGCGAGGTGACCTCGCCCAGCCTCACCACGGTTGTGCGACGGCGAGGGCCGGTGAGGGCGGAGCTCGCCATGGCTGGGCAAGCTCTGCCCTCGCCACCGTTGGGCGAGCTCGGCGTTGCCCAGCTCGCCCAGCCATGGCGAGCTCCGCCCTCGCCGGTCCTCGCCAGTGCCGACGAGGGCGAGCCTCGCCGTCGCACAGCCACGGCGAGGCTTGACCTCGCAGGGGCGAGGTCGAGCTCGCCCGGCCATGGCGAGCGGCTCGGCGAGGGCGACCTCGCCCGGATCCGGCGAGGTCGAGCTCGTCCCGGCCATGGCGAGCTGCGAGGCTCGCCTGAGGGCGACCGCCCGCGATCCGGGCGAGGTCGAGCCTCGCCGGGTGGCGCGGGCGAGCTCTCGGCGTAGGCTTGCCCGGGCGCCGGGCGACGCGGAGCCGGGCTGGCCCGAGCGAGGGCGGACGCCTGAGCTCACCATGGCGTCATGGGCGAGCTCCGCCCTCGTCGGCCCTCGCCGTCGCACAGCCGTGGCGAGGCTGGGCGAGGTCGCCTCGCCTTGCCCGGCGACGGCGAGCCTCCCCAGTGGACCTCGCCGGCGAGCTTCCCCCTAGCCAGACTGGCCAGGGGGAAGAAGGAAAAGAAAAAAAAATAAAGAGAAAGGAAAAAAAAATTCAAAAAAAATATTAAAATATTGTCACGTCACCGGCCGGCGTCCACGTCAGTGCCGGCCGGCGTCCACGGCAGCTCCGGCCGGCCAAAAGGACTGAATTGGCTAAATTGCAAAAGGTTTATGACTGAATTGGCAAAAAACAAAGGTTTAGGACTGAATTGGCACAACTGCAAAAGGTTTAGAACTTTTTTAGTAATTTTCCCCATCATAAGCAGATTATTACCTAGTCTCATTTTTTTTTTATTTCGAACCTAAAATAGCTATATTGTGATGTTCCGACCAAAAAAATATATATATTGGGATGTAGTCATTTTTAGGATATCATTTATAATGATAGTAGTTCATGGTAGTAGTACGGTAACCAATTAACGATTTAGGAAAAAAAGCAAAACAAAAGCTATATAAAACCAGCACGACTTATAGGTACAAGCTTAAAAGGCCAACAAATGGCAAGATCCTTTCTGGAATTATCGGCTCATCCTGTTGTTGAACGCCTGGAAATGAGACTGGTTTAGAAGTTGAACTAACACTTCGACAAAAATCCCACCAAACCATACTTGCAATCTCCCCAATCCCCACGTCCCTCCTCTTTATAAACCCTCCATCAAGCCATTGCTCAAACACACCTGCACCTTTTCACTTGAGATTCACGGCTTCTTCACTCGGAAGTTCTTCAATTTGCTAGCTGATCGATTCTCCGGTGGCGAACTATCACGGACTCGCGCATCTTTTGGCATTGTTGGTCCTTGCTCTGTCTTTGACAATTGGCGAGAACCCAGTCGGAGCTCGGCAACTTTTGGAGGCGACTTTGCCCGAATTGTCCGAACTGCCTCAGCCAGAATTGCCTCAACTTCCTGACATCCCAAGCTTGCCGAAGCTCGAATTGCCATCACTGCCGAAAGTCGAATTGCCGCCACTTCCCGAACTGCCAAAGCCCAAATTTCCAACAATACCGAAGCCAGAGTTGCCGGAAGTACCCGAATTGCCTTATCTTCCTGATTTCCCCAAGCCAACATTGCCTTTCGTTCCCACGGTGCCAGAGGACAAATTTGTGGCTTCTACTTGTCCTTGAACCGCTATGATGTGATGATGGAGTGGTGATACAATATGATGCAATACGGTATTTTATTGCTTTCTATTTCAATGGTCCGAGCATGCCTCAGAACACTACATGGTACTTGTTTATATCACAGTGTTATATGAATTATGGAACTCATTTGTATGACGGTTTGTGATATCTTGTGTAACCTTTTCTTTTACACCCGACAGAGTATGCTATAATTACTCTTTCTTAAATAGCTAGTGCACTTGTCCATTCTTTGCTTTAGTTTTATATTTTATAAATATATTAAAATTTATGTTTGCTAAAACCCCTCATCTACTTCTTTTCACATGTAACTTATATGAAATTTTTTAATATCTTTTCAGAGTTATAACAGCGACAATAATCATGGAATTTAAATTGTGGAAAATCAGCAAATGTAAAAGGTGTCGTTTATCATACGATCGAGTAGTGTAGGATCATTTGTAATATATATAAAGTTTAAATTCACTGTATATATAGATTTCATATTTTGCGAAAGTTGAATTTGACACAACTAGTTTGTCATTTTAAGCAATCATCATTCTTTAATTAGGTAAAATTGCCTCTAATATTTGCTTTTACCACATCTTGCATTGGATTGAACCAAAATAATTTTAGGCTCCATGTTATAGTATTTATGCATGTTAATTATTACCTATGTTTTTCTGTATTACATAATATATTATGTATACGATCTTCAATATTACTTTTTATAGATTTTCTTTCTATTCTTGATATATTGTTTCACATACTAGCAGTCTAATCTGCTACAAGTTCTATTTCAAGCAAAAAAGTCAATTTTTCTCTCCATTCTATAGATATATAAGCATGACCATCTTTTCATTCTCATGAAGTTAGTTTTACTTCTTATTACATTAGATAGTATCTGATATATATGACACTGATGAATATGTTAACATTATAAAATATTCTTCTCTCAAACTTTTCTTGAAAAAATAAAATGACTTCTCTGTAGACACAGTCTACCTTACTACACATAAAGTCATAAACAATATTATCTAAATATTGGTATCCAGATAGAGATTTTAAAGACTTTCCTTTAATTTTTTAGGGATAAATGCACTGAAAGTCCTAAAACTTATCAAGAAGTGCAATTAAATTCTAAAACTTTTAAAAAGTGCAATCAAGTCTTACAACTTGTCAAGTTGGTGTAATTAAATCCTTCCATTAACTCCATCTAACTTGACAAACGGAAAATGTTAACGAATTTTAAGATTTAATTGCACCAACTTGACAAGTTTTAACACTTGATTATATTTTTTGAAAGTTTTAGGACTTAAGTGCATTTTGGTGGCAAGTTTTAAAATTTGATTGCACTTTTTGAAAGTTTTAGGACTCAATTACACATTCGTGACAAGTTTTAGAACTTCCAGTACACTTATCCTAATTTTTTACTTTTCTTGAAATTACGCCATCATTCTATTTGGAAAGGGAAAGGATCTTTCTGATTAGATTGAATGCATTTCACGTTCAAAAGGCATATCAGAATAGCTTTCAAACCCGTGTTACTGATACATCTGGACTGAATATTCCACTACATATAAAGGATATGGATCATATCATGTTTGAAATATGCTGTCGAAACTTCTGTGGTAGTATTGCGTCGGTTGTTAATGAAGTTCCAAGTACTTGGTACAGAGCTAATGCAGACGAACAGAAGAAGAGAAAACCCAGATTGGCATTGGCATTGAAGTAGAGTTCAATATCTGTACTTCACCCCCATCGTGCCTTTGGCGAAAACTTGTCAGTTAATGTTCAAAGTTATGATGGGCAGCCAAAGTAGGTATGATGTGTGGGGATGTCTCTGCTTTTAGTCTCTCTCTCTCTCTCTACATATCCAAAGATTGTGCATCAATTAAACTTGCACTTGACACATTGGACGCTCACATTACGTTACTGTAACGATCCGGTCCGATGAGGGTGGGGAGTCATTGCTGGGGCTAGAGGGCCTTGATAAGGAGTGGCTCCCAAAAAGCTTCTAGGATGACGAAGAGAGCAGGAATAAACCGAACTGTGCACTGAACAAGGGAGGGCGATTCTGAGATATATATGTGAAAATCATGCGCTTTTTGACTTAACAACGAGTTTTGCTTTGGAACTTCGAAAGACAACCTTGAGACTCAGCCAAAACGGAGAATACCTCGAGTGAGTTAATCTAGAAACGCAACAATTACTCACGTATCTAGAAGCTAACATCTTGGATTCTATGACGCAAGATTCAGTAAAATGTTGTAATGCCATCTTATCTTGGAACCTGTCTTGTTTCGGTGTAGTAAATGCTATGGCTCGACGACATGCTGCGTGTTCGTTTTGAAGCAGAGGAGGTACTCGATGCTGTTTAGAATGACTGCGGCGGTGAGGAAGAGAAGATACTCAGATCTTCTGGGAAGTACATAGAGTAAAAGGACCAAGACAGTGAAAAGTGCCCAGCATGACCCCACCTCCAATAAAGACCTTGGTCCTAGCCATTAAAACGATATTTACAACCCTGACCAACCCAATCCTTCCCACCCCCACAAGCCTGAACACCTCCAGCTCTTCTTATAACACAAGTGCAGGGCTGGCATCACAATCTGGATCATTTCACATTCTACAGTGCAATGGCTTCTCGCTGTTGCATTTTCTTGGTTGTGTACCTTGGTTTGGTCTTTGAGAGAACCCATGTGACGACCGTTGAGGCGCGGTCTCTCCCCGATGCCGGGAAGGAATCGCTGTCGGCGCCAGAAGTGAAGGTGGTGCCGCCATTGCCTAGGCCTAAGTTGCCGCCTCTGCCTCCTTTGACTTGTTCGCCGCCTATTTTGAAATCACCAGCGCCAAAGTTGTCACCGTTGCCACCCTCAGAGTCTTCACAGACTCCGCCTAGTATCATTTTACCATCACCAGCGACCAAATCAGCGCCGTCACCGCCGAGTCTCAATGCACCCACGCCTAAATCCCCATCACTGCCATCGAAATCAACCCAACCTCCAAAATCATCCCCATTGCCCCCTAAGTCGCCTAGTCTCAAGCCACTGGTCCCTAAACAATTGCCATCGCCGCCATCGAAGTCTGCTCATCCGCCCCCTTCTGTCAATTCACCATCGCCAAAATCACCACCTGTACCGCCATCAAAATCGACCCAATCACCACCTAATCCCACTCCTCCAATGCCAAAATTGCCACCATCAACGCCTACTGCACCTCCCCCTGATTTATCAGCGCACAATTCGTCACATTCGCCACCATCAAAATCAAGCCAACCACCACCTCGAACCAATTTGCCCTCTCCAAAGTCACCATCTGTACCGCCATCAAAATCGACCCGATCACCACCTAATCCCACTCCTCCGATGCCAAAATCGCCACCACCATCGCCTAATGCACCTCCCCCCGATTTATCAGCGCACAATTCGTCACATCCGCCACCATCAAAACCAAGCCTACCACCACCTCAAACCAATGCACCCTCGCCAAAATCACCACCATCGCCACACAAATCGCCGCGTCCTATCTCACCTCCTAAATCGACCCCATCACAGCCATCACCTTCGACACAAACTCCGCCTGGATCCCTTTCACCATCTCCTGAATCACCTCCATCACCACCTAGCTCGCCCAGCTTCGACCCACCGACGCCTAAGAAATCACCATCACCACGATCAAAGTCCATGAAATCTCCTCCTAGTCCACCAACTCCTAAATCATCATCACCACCTACTTCTCCCCAGCCAGCCCCAAAATTGTCACCACCATCACTAAGCCCACCAAGTTCCGCTTTACCGGCACCTATACCGCCGGCACTGTCTCCACCAATGCCAAATCCATTGCCACCTGTATGCAATTCACCAGTGCCCAAACCATCGCCATTACCGCTGAAAACAACTTCCCCCCCACCCAACTTATCAGAGCCACCACCGACCTCCTCTGCACAAGCTCCAACCTTACCACCGTTGCCTTCAAAAGGAGAATTTGCTTCACCATCAGTAGCACCGCTGCCTTATACACCACCAGCATCTTATGAACACACAATGCCTCCGCCGCCGCCGCCGTCCTATCCGACGCCTACATTGCCTGCATTTCCGACACTCCCGAATTTGACATGGCCTCCGTATCCTTTCATCCCCAAGATTCCTGGGATCCCGAGGACTAATTCAACCACTTCCTCTCCTCCATCTCCTTCATCTGCAAGAGCCTGAGCACTTTCACTTGTGTAGTCAGTTTTAGCATATAAGTCACTTTGATCTTCTTCACCTATTGCCCCTTAATGTTTGTGCTTTCACTGGCCTCCGAGCAAAGCAAATGCTCAACTGCCTTCTTTTTTTAATGATTTGCAAGTGAAAAACAGCGTTATGTTCATTGAAGCTGTCAATATCACGTCTCGGTTTGTATGATCTGGTCACTCACGCTTCTGCAATTCTGCCAAGATTAACTGGGTTTTACCTGCAATAGAGTCGTGCCTCCAATATGAATGATCATGGCAGACTCAGAGAGCATGCAGAACAAACAGGACTCTTCTTTAACATTGAAGCCATCAGCTTCATTGGTGGATGAGGGAGAAAATTTAATGCTATCTTATCATTGAGGGTGATAAAATCCCAACTACTAGACTCTCATTAAAACTTGTTGGGTATCCAGTACAAACCAATCTTGATTTAGTGTGGGTGCATGACATCGATAGTGCTGTTTAGAGCATGCAAGCTGACAAAACAATGGATTTGGAACAATGATTCCGTCTAATAGTCAAGTGATTGGATAGTTGCGATCGAGACTGCGAACCACTGCTATTCAGTCGATGACAAGCGCATGCGCAAATGATTAAGGAAGTTACATAATGTACGGACTAAGGAACCTGTAGTAATCATCGACCGAAACAGTAACTGCCGGGAACATTGATTCAAAGTGGCCAAGTTCGAGGGAAAAGAATACTCTCATCTTAAATTGGATTTATCTTTCTGAGACAGAGAAACGTTATTTTTGCATCTTTTGTTTTAGGTAGTTTGAAACAATAATAAGAAAATGGTTATTGTATTACTTTAGTATTTGCACCAAGCAATATGTATAGGAGATGAAGTAATCTAATCTAACAAGGAAACTAGCTATTTCACAATTTCAGAATATTTTGACAGTATTTTTAACATCCCTCAAACTTAAAGGTGGTTCCAAGGAAACCAACTGAGTTTGGACAAGAAACTAGAAAATTGAGCGAGACGAGGAGCCTTCCTTAGACCATCCGTTGTTTGATTAATGGAAGAGACGTGGGACAAGATCGATGGTTCCTTGCAGAAGATGCTGTCGAGTAAATTGACAGTTGTTCTCAACAAGTTTAGTGCGTTCGTGAAAAACTGCATTTCTCATGATCTGAATGGCGAATTTGCTACCGCACCGACTGATAGTGGGTGATTTCAGAAAGCCAACGGCGCCAAACAAGTTCTGCACTAGTATCAGCCAACGTGTGACGCTCAGATTCAACGCTAGACCGTGAGTTGATACTAAAGCACTGTGCGACATTTTCTCATCAGATGCCTTGCTGCAAATGCGACACCATATTTTCTCTGCGCGGAACGATGTTAATGGATGCTCGTGGGCAAAACAATCAATGACCTCTATCTGGTGTTCAAGAGATAGAAATTACAGTCTGCGTGGAGGTAGAAATTACATTTATCACAGTGATAGGCCTTCTTATGGAAGATTCCATACTCACAGGCTTAATTTTGTATTTTGTCAAAATCATCAGAAGAGACGGCTTACTGAAGCATGGTTTTCAACATGAACAAAGACAACATAACCAATTGACCAACAAATATTTTTGTAGTAAATGGTACGATTTTACATTTTATCATAAGAGTTGCGTTTTTACCCAAAACATAGAATTGGAAACCGGATCAAAACAGGCCAGTCGAGGAACCAGCGGTTTCAGAACTGACTGGTTCTGTCCTTGGTTCGAATCTTTTGGAACTGGAAGTCTGGAAACCGACCCGTCCGAGAACCAATTATCCCTACGTGGAGCCACGGATACTACATTGGTGCAAGCATCGCAATCAAGCGACGAAGTCAAATATCCGCTCAACTCGCGGAGGATCAAGACATGAAAATGGCCGGAAAGTCAAAGGAACATCTCAGATAGACTGAAAAGGAAGACAAGAAGCAGGGCAGAGACAGAGAGGGACTGCCCCCTTACAGTTTTACTTCTCACTGATGGGCATGGCCGCTCTGCTCTCAATTCTTAAGCATGTGACATAAGTATATGTACATGATCTAAAGTATTAAGAACATATACAAATTACTTTTAACAAAACAGCAGAAACAAGAATTTTCAATTCCTAACAAATCTTGTTTGTCTCTGCAAAATAAAAAATAAAAAATAAAAGTCTCCAGTTATATGCCAGCTAATTTAAGTGTATTTCCGCAATTCGCTTCGGATGGCATTGAAATGCTTCAATTTTTTATCATTTGCCGAGCTGCCAGTCTTTCACCTAACATCTCTGTTGAAAAACAAAGAACAAATGAAGGCAAGAATTTAACGAGGTTCGGCAATGTGCCTACGTCCTTGGACAAAACTCTCCAACTCTTCTTTTTCTTTTGTGTCGTGAGAGATGATGTGCCATTATTCTCTATATGTACAGAACAAGGTTGCTACAACCAAGGAAACAGGCAAACCATAAAAGGAAAAATATCCTTGAAATCAAGCTACAGAAAAAGGAAATACAATATTCACATCTCCTTTCCAAGAATAGGAGCACGAATTCGGCCAACACTCCCCTCAAGTTGGACCAAAGAGATCATCGGAGGTCAACTTGTTCATCATCTCTTGAAACATTCCTTTAGACAGAGCCTTGATAAATACATATGCTAACTGATCTTCACTGCGAATGTACGGGGTCTCAATAGTCTTATCTTGCACCTTTTCTCTCACAAAGTGACAGTCCACCTCTATGTGCTTAGTCCTCTCATGGAATACAGGATTCGAAGCAATATGAACAGCGGCCTGATTATCACATAATAGTTTCGTTGGTTTGGTTGTAGAGTTGCAACCCAACTCTTGAAGCAACAATCTCAACCAAACTATTTCACTTGTAGCCGTAGCCATAGCTCGATATTCTGCCTCTGCACTAGATCGTACAACAACCGCTTGTTTCTTGATCTTCCAAGTGACAAGATTTCCTCCCACAAAGGTGCAAAAACCTATAGTAGATTTTCTATCAACGGGGCTGCTAGGCCAATCCGCATCCGCATAACCAATGATGTTTGTGTGACCATTATTCTTCATTAGAATTCCCTTTCCTAGAGAGGCCTTCAAGTACCGAAGCAAGTGATTTATCAGTTCCATGTGCCCCTTTGCATGAATTGACTCACATAGCTGACAGCGTATGCTATATCAGGTCGAGTAATAGTTAGATAGATCAATCATCCAACAAGGCGCTGAAATTGCCCAACATCATGCAACAATGTATTATCAGAAATAAACTTACTATTATAATCCATGGGGGTGCTCGCTGGCTTTACTCCTAACTTACCAGTCTCCTTCAGCAAATCAAGAACATACTTTCGCTAAGATAAGAACAATCCTTTCCGAGATCTAGCAACCTTAATCCCAAGAAAATACCTGAAATTACCGAGGTCTTTGATGTTAAATTCTTTATTTAAATGCTGCTTGAGAGCTTCAATCCCGGACTGATCACTGCCTGTAATCACAAGATCATCAACATATACTAAGACAATAACAATTCCTCTGTCCATGACTTTGGTAAACATTGAGGAATCTGCTGCACTTTGCTTGAATCCAACCTTGACAAGGGCAGTGTGTTGACACCTAAATTTTACCCAAATCATTTAGGGCTTCATCGCATAAAAATTAGGGTTTAATTTTTAACCCCTAAGCCAAAAATACTTTTATTAAATTCCATGACATATAGACATTAGGCACATTTGCATTAATAGGGCCTATTAGGACACAAAATTTTTATATAAAAAAAAAAATTCGGGTCGGGTTCGTCGCTTTTTTTTTTTTTTCTTTTTTTTGTCCCGTGTGCCGGCCCTCTTTCTCTCGGCCCAGCCCGCGTCTGTCCATCTCCCCCCCAGTCAACGCTGCTGAAGCGTACGGGGAAGAAGACCGGAACAGTGGCAGAACGCCACAGATGGGCGGAACGGGAGCCAGACGCACGGGGGATGGCAGCGCGATCCGCGGGTCGCGAGATCGGCCGGCCGCGGCAGCCTGGCGGTGGCAGAGGCCATGCGGGCCTGCCGGCAACAGGGGCCACGCGGGCGTGCCGGCCAGCTCCTTTAAGACCAGATCTGGTCGTGAAGGAGAGGGGAGAACGGAGAGACCGGAGAGGGAGAGAGAACAGAGAGAGATCCGGGGGAGAGAGAGAGTGAGTCCGAGAGTTCCAGGGCGTGAGATCTGAGAGCGAACGGTCTCCTTGGTGACCGCCACACCTCAACCGTGACCGGCCAAGCTCCGACGCGCGCCCCCTGCACACGGTAGGTCACGTACCCGAGCTGCTGTCGGGTTTTGCTTCGTGCGATTCGGGGCCGATTTCCCGAGGATTTCGGCTCGGTGGCGTGCAAGGCAACCGGACCTAGTCCGATCTATCTCGCTCGCCCTCGTTCGCCGCCGCCGAGCCGGATAGGGAGTGCCGCAACGGCAGCCCCCTCCCCTGTTTTTGCTTCCATCCTCTGTTTCTCGAGTTCACCGGCCGGAGCTCGCGGCCGTCCGGCTGGCGCGAGTTCCGGCCCGTGACGCCTCGTGCGTGCTTCTGCTTCTTCATATGTCTGGTGTTGATGATTTCAGCCCGTTTTGAGCCTCGATCGTGCGAGAAATCCATCGTTTTTTGCCGCGCGCTCCAACTGTTTGTTGTTATGCCTGAACCGAGCTCCTTGAATTTGTCTCTGTGCTGTTGCGTTTTGTTTGTGCCGGAACGCCGGACGGTCCCGGCGAGCCGACGGTGACGCGGGCAGGGGAGGCCCGCGGATTCGCCCGGCGGTCGGGGCGTGGTCGCGAAGGGAACCGGACAGCCGGTCCCTCGCCGGGATCCGGCTGGTTCACGGCTGATTCACGGCTGGCTAACTCCTCGTCGGGGCGGCGGCGAGTACTGAGGCAGCCGCGAACCGGGCCGGTGACGTGGACGGGAGGCGGCCGGGCTCGGGCCTAGCCGAGTAGCCGGAAGGTCTCGGCCATGAAGGCCGAGCATTCGCTCCACGTCGAAGCGGCGGCCGGCGTTCGAGCGAGTCGGGTCGGGAATCGGGTTGCGGGCACTAGGGTTTTGGGCGAGTCGGGTCGGCGGCCGGTGACCGGGTCGGGTTCGTGGGTCACAACCGGGTAGGGTTTTGTGGGTGTTGGGCTTGGTATTAGGTTTTTA